TACCACATAATGCAGTAATTGGATTAAAAACCCACGTTTGGCAGAGCAAGAAGAGTATGGGAATTGGACCATGGAAATTGGCTCCAATTACCACATTCATTGTAATTGAGAATACTACATCTCCCCCTAGTAATTTGACATTACCACGTTTTCTTCCTTCTATTTCCAAATGTGTCCTTATGTCCTTCCTCTCCTTTCTTTCTTACTCCTCCGATTTCGTCAATTTCTTAATTTTGGATTCGCTTAATTATCTCATTCACCGTCAATTTTCTTGCTTCTCCTCATTGAATTCGCATAAACACTTTTAATATCCGTATTTAATAAATTAAATTCTTAACTTTATTATAATTTATATATGTACTTATTATTCGAATAATTAAGTTTATATATTTATGGCTTTTAATGTACTATTAAATGTAATATTAGCTTAGAGATGAAGTAAAATAATCGTACATATTTTATACGTAACTTTTCCATATCATATTTTTTCTAACTATGCTTAAGTTAGCAACAATTAGTAGTTAGTATAATACAACAACAACCTTTAGGAGGGGTATATGTATATAAACAAAAGAGGGCATTTTTGTATTTTTACCAAATTCCACACCATCAATTCCCACAAAACTAAACCCTATCCAAACGTGGAATTTTGTTCAATTTCCACAAGTCAATTCCTTGGTTTTGTAAAACATGGAAATTCATACAAATTCTCACGTTTTCAAATTTCCACATCCAAACGACCCCTAAAGTACCATCAATAAATTTAAACATTTCGAGTGACCAAATTTGAACCTTTTTTGGTAATCCATCCATACAATTAACCCAAATTGAAAATGATTACTTTTACAGAAAGTAAAGCACATCAGACCTAAATCTTTTTCTTCTGATTCTGCAGCCTTCATTGATGGTCAAACACTTGAGAGTAGACATGTTTTCTTCTTCTTGCACCCAGCCAGGTGCCAGCAGCCCCATTCTTCTTCCAGCTTCTGCTGTGAAATTGTGATTCAAACCTCCATTTGGACTTTGGAGTTCTCCTCATTTTTGAAAGAAAGAAAAAAAAATGGTCACAAATTGGGTCCATGATGAAGAGAAGTTAAGGACATGAGTAGTGATGAGTAGATCAAATCATCACGTTTACTTTCTTGCTGGCTCACACTGTCTATGATCCCACACACTCATACTAGAAGTAATCATTTATACACGCACAAGCACAGTTCATTAAGTCAGAGCTGGAGGACTTGCAAATTATGAAGGAAAAACAAAACCTAGAGTTGAGATCTAAACACTTAAAAATTCTTTTCTTTGTTATTAGTTATTGCCATGAGCAACTAGTTCTTTTCTCTTTTACTATTGCCATACTTTCGGTGGTGAACCCAAAAAACTTATGTAGCAATGTCCTCTTTCAAAAATTAAATTAAAATAAGTAGATATTTAAATAATACTTAAATGAAAATATATCTTACTAGTAACAATTATAAAGGACTAGAAAACTGTATCGTACCGTCGGTTGAACCTCAAAATACCGGTACCGAAACAAAATCTGGAATGATAAAAGTGGAAGTGGTAAAGAATCGTGTCGGCCGGTATTTAAAGGTTGAACCTACGAACCTCAGTATTCCAGCCAGTTTCAATCATATCAAAGAAGCTCGAAATTTTTAAAAAAAAAAAATTCTCTAACATCAAAGCAACATGAAGGGTTTGTTATTCCTGAACATGCCTCGAAAGTCTATAAGTTAGACAAATCATTGTATGGTTTAAAACATGATCCAAAACAGTGACATAAGAAGTTTGACAATTTGGTTCTCTCACATTGCTTTAAGGTGAATGAAAGTGACAAGTGTATTTACTAAAAATCAGAAAATAACACTTGCACTACCATATGTTTGTATGTAGATGACATGTTGATATTTTGTACCAATATTCACATGGTCAATAAAGCAAAAACCATGTCGGGAGAGAATTTTGAGGTGAAAGATCTGGGTGAATCTAAGTTTATGCTTGGAATCCAAATAAATAGAACATCAAATGGTTTTTCTTTAGATCAATCTGCTATATAAAGAAGAACTTGACGAAATATAAGTATTTTGACTATAAACCTGCTTTTACTCCGTGTGATGCTAGTATAAAGCTATTCAAGAACGTCGGAGATAGTGTAAGACAATCTGAACATGCTAACATCATTGGCAGTCTCAATTATGCGGTGGATTACACTCCCCAGACATTGCATATGTCGTGGGATTGCTTGGCAGGTTTAATAGTTGTCCTGGTAAAGAGCATTGGAATGCTATAGAGAGCGTTATGAGATACCTCAAGAGATAAGCGACCTTGGTATACACTATCAAAGGTTTCCTGCTGTACTAGAAAGGTATAGTGATGTGGATCGGATTACCCTTTCAGACGACTCCAAGGCGACCAGTGGATATATTTTTAACATCAGTGGAGGAGCTGTGTCTTGGAAGTCTAACAAAAAATCAATCCTATTACAATCAACTATTGAATAAGAGATGATAGCACTAGCAACGGCTATTGAAGAAGCGAGTTGGTTGAGAGGATTATTGTCAGAGATGCCCTTATTGAAAAGATCGGTCCCTTCAATATTGCTCCATTGTGATAGTACCGCAACTATCGCTAAATTTCAGAACCAGTTCTACAACGAAAAGAGACGACAAATTCGTCGTAAGAACAATATTGTAAGAGAACTCCTAACGATAGGAGTAGTGAGAGTGGATCATGTCAAATCAGAATAAAATCTAGCTAATCCTTTTACGATAGACTAGCTAGAGAGAAAGTCCAAAATACCGCAAGGGTATGAGAATTATGCCTATCGAACCATAACTACAAGTGATGTTAACTCGACCCAATTGACAGGGAATCCCAAGAAATGGGTTCTATGGGTGATAACAAGTAGTTAGTAGTATGTGAAAAATTCATGCATAGTAAAGCATGAATTCCAAAGCAATGGAGGTTGAGTTAAAATCTTAATAAGATCTATACCTTATATGGTGCAAAGTACTTTACTTTGGGGTACTTCTGATAGACTCACCTATATAAATGTGGGAGTGGTACCGCTTTCTATGGAACTTTGGAGGCACAAAGTTGCTAGGGCGTTCACTAAAAACTGTGATAACTCGCAAGAACATAAACGCACGACCTATGAGTGAATATCGCTCAATGAAAAGATTATGTATGCTACACTGTCCGAGATAGAGTTCAAGACTAAGAGTCACTCTTAGGAAATAAGAAGTGTAACCACTACGCTTAGGTTCAACTCGAGAGATACCTTAGTTTATGCCCGATCTTATGGATCTGTTGATGCTAAGAGATAGTTTCAAAACTATTCAAGTGGGTGATTGTTGAAAATGAAGATGAATAACTTTGAAAGTTATAAGCCACAAGGAAAGAGTATCACATTGGTGGAGAACTTCTACCAAAGAGTTATAAAGATTGGGTTCTCTCACCTAAGGGCATGACCCTTGGGGTGACCCACTTGTGAGAGAGGTAGAAACTAATGGACCACCCCTTGCGAGCACCGTCCGACAGACCGGTTGGTTGGGTGGGGGGGGGGGGGGTTGGCTTGAGAGATAAATTATAAACTTAATTATTCTTTATCCTTAACAGAAAGGATAATTAAATTGAAAAAGAATATTCGAGAGATAATTCCTTGCCAGACACATTTTAATAAATGAGATATTTATCTATTAATTAAATCGTGACTTATTCCCTACGAAAGAGAAATATTATGTGGGTCTCAACTCCTATAAATAGCCGACCCCTCAGACCCTCTAAACATACCTTCGAAGACCAGGAACACGAGAGAGAGAGAGTTTAGAGAGCTCCGGTTTTTGCAAAAAATCAACGAACAACCACTCAGACTGTTTATCCTGGAGGCAACTAGGTTGATAGTTTGTTGTGCGCAACAAATGGCAGTGTTGAAAACGTATTAAAATGAGCGACCTAGTTCGCGATTCAGGCAGATTCGATAACACTTATTTTAATTGTTCTATTACAAATCGTTTTTAGTTAAGTGCTAATTAAGAGATTGAATGATATATGTGTATTAAACGCAGGCTCAATCCCCACGCGTTTAATGAGTGCGAATGGGGCTATAGGATATGACACCAATCCGCTTTCACTGATATGTTTGAGCTGAAGGACTCTGGTACGAGTTTTGAATTGGTAAAAAGGGTGATGGAGAAGGCTGATGACACGAGATTTGCTGGTTGGTGCACTTTACTTTGGTTCCTATGGAAGGAGAGGAATGCACATCTCTTCAATGGATACAAACTGGCGGATGGGGATATTGCGGGCAACTCTTCTTCTCACAGTACCAATAGCACCTGGGGCAAGAGGATAACGTTCGAATGGTGGAAAGAGTGAAACAATGGGGGAGACCAGTAGCTGGGAGAGTGGCAGTCAGTACGTACGAATGATGGTTTAATCCAAGGGGGCGGAGCAGGGTTGGGAGTGGCGATCCGTAATTCGGAAGGGAAGATTTTGCTTGCTGCAGCAAAGCGAGTTAAAGCCATAAACCAGCCTGAAAAATGGCGGAGGCGTTAGCGACCGAAATGGGCGCCCAATTTGTTGTTCCGTTTGAGATACCAGACTCATCAGTATTGGAAACCGATCGTCTGTCCCTTGTTCAGAAGCTGCACAGCTCGACGACCCTACGTCGGAGACTGGGGTGGTGTGTAGCGACGTCCAGCGCCTGTTTTCGGCTTGTATGGCACACATCATGGCTCATACTGAAACGCGTTGGGATGAAAGTGTAATTTGGTTTGATAGACCTCCGATCTTTCTGTTTGAACAGATTCAGCTTGATCGCTTAGGCATATTTCCGTTTTAAAAAAAAAAACTTTCTTTCGTAACCTTCTCTCCCAAGTTGTTGGGCTAACTTCGTAATTGTACAAACAGAAAGGGATTCGGGAACTATATAGTCGGATCAAATCTGTATATTATGCATCCCTAGATTACATTTTACATTACATAAAAGATTTCATTTTCCTCTCTAATCAGAGCGCACCAAAATCGGCCCACACGTGACGCACGTGGTATCGACCCTGAGAACCAGCTCTCCACGCTTTTGTCTTCCACTCCAAACACAGCGAGCCCAGCCATCACCACCGTCGCTCGACACTCCCCACCCATCCATCAAAAGCTAAAGTCAGCAATCAGAGCCTCACGAATTCTTTCTCCTCCCATTTTCCTCGGCTGTCTCCATGGCTGCCCACGATCTCTCCTCCCCTCTTCTCGCCTCCACTACTCCGCCGCCGCCGCCGCATCTCGTCCTCACCGTTGACGGCGGCGACGACGATTCCAAATCCCGTCAACCCACCGCTAACCACCAGAACGGCGGCCGGGCCCACTCAAAGACCAATCACCACATTACCCCTCGCTCCAACTCCACTACTCACCACCGAAACCCTTTCGAATTCGTCGGCTCCGATGCTTCCTTCTCCGCCCCCCCGCCCTGCACCATCGATCCCTTCCGCAACGGAACTCCCCGCATCGACGGACTCTACGAGGTTCTGAAGATTCTGCTGCTGCTCCCGATCGTGGTAATCAGATTGGTGCTCTTTGGGCTCTGTTTAGGGGTGGGCTACATAGCTACTAAATTGGCGATTTTGGGATGGAAAGACAAGCACAACCCTATGCCCAGATGGCGTTCTCGCCTCATGTGGGTCACTAGGTTTACCGCCCGTGGCATTCTCTTCTCTTTTGGGTCTGTATTTTTTTTCTTTGTCTCCGCCCATTTTTATTCCTCCCTGCTTTTCTGGGTCTGCTCCTTGGTGGCAACTTGAGATACTACTGCCAGTGGAGTTTTGATTGATTAATGGTGTTTACTTTGTTTTGTCTGATTGCAATTACTGCATCCAGCTACCAGTGGATACGAAGGAAAGGAAAGCCGGCTCCCAGAGGAATTGCTCCGATCGTTGTATCAAACCACGTTTCCTACATCGACCCCATTTTCTATTTCTATGAGATGTGCCCTACCATTGTTGCTTCCGAGTCGCATGATGCTTTGCCTTTTGTTGGAACTATCATCAGAGCTATGCAGGTAATTTGTGCTTTTCCTCTCCTGGCGATTTCACCTAAGTCTGACGTTGTCATCGTTATTATCATATAACAATGTCCTTTTTGCCTCCGATATTCCGCTCTTCATGCTGTTTTATGCTTTTGTTGTGTCGCCAGGTTATATATGTTGATAGATTCTCACAACCGTCAAGGAAGAATGCTGTCAATGAGATAAAGGTATAAACTTGCTGTTTCTTTTGTTAATGACTCATTTTACTTTGTTGAGTTTTTGTTTCTCTTAGGTTTCGTGTGATTTAGGCTTATGTGCATTAAAAGATGACCTAGTCTTCCAGAGTGATCAGCCAATTTTTTACACTCTCACGAAGTGTTGTCCAGCAGTCGTCTTGAAAAAAGTTCTCTGTAAAATAAAATTTTCAATTTATTAGCTATTTGATACAGAATTGTGCTTTCAAGGATCTGAATACAGAGAAAGGGATGTTGCGATAGATTTCCTCGAGTGCTGTTGTTTCCTGAAGGAACCACCTCCAATGGAAGAAGCCTTCTTTCATTTCAACTTGGAGCATTCATCCCTAATTACGCAATCCAACCAGTGGTTGTGCGCTATCCACACGTTCATTTTGACCAATCTTGGTAAGATGGATTCCTTTTCCTGAAATTTAGAGTTTCGGCTTTTAATGCATCCTTTACCAAAACTTGCTCATGGTTGCTATTCATCAGGGGGAATATTTCCTTGGCAATGCTCATGTTTAGAATGTTTTCCCAGTTTCACAATTTCCTTGAGGTATGGTTATTATCTTTACTTAAGGCCATTCATTAGTTACTTGTTTAGCTGAAATATTGATTTGATTTCTGTTATAAATGGATAGGTGGAGTATCTACCAATAGTTTCTCCCCTTGATAATTCCAAAGAAAACCCTGCACATTTTGCCAAGAGAGTGAGTCATTGCTCTGCAATTATTATGTTTTGCTTTTCTTTCAGTTTTACCATTATTTGAAATTTTGTGGTTTTTTGATATGCAACATACTAATTGCTCTGGTTCCTGATTGATATTAAAATTAGGTGGGAATATTTGTTTGTTTGGCAGCAGTTACTTAAATCATATTCTTCTTTCATGTTTGTATCGAATCTTTGCAGACAAGTAATGCTATGGCATCTACTCTCAATGTTGTACAAACATGCCATTCCTATGGGGATGTGATGCTCTTCATGAGAGCGGCTGAGTCTGGCCAGGTTTGCTGTTCTTCATCATTATCTGCCTTAAGACTATTTCTCATGGTTGATTTTTTATGTCATGCTATAAGTAATCATCTGAGAGCATCAAAGATGACATGTAGACAAGAGCACTGGACTATAGAATCATAAACATAGTTGTCAAAATTAAGCTTTGTGCTGAGCTTAAAGCTCACTTGGAGTGAATGAAATCAGAAAGGTGCACCTCTGCTTTGAAACTCCTACACGTCCTTAGACCAACTCAATTTCTTCCATCTGTACTTCCTTTCAACTTCTTTAGATATTTTTCTCTAGTAAACTCCTATATGTCCTTGGCTCAACTCCGATTCTTGCACCTGTACTTCTTTCCATGTTTAGTAGACATTTTTCTCTGGTTCTGTGGAAACTGCATAACTAATTTCTCTATTTAGGGCCAATCATTCTTGCTTCTGTGTTGGTCTCTCCAATGAACTATTTTCATATGTTGATGTGAATATACCAACTTGAGATATTTACTTTTGTATGTGTTGCAGGAGAAGCCTTCAAATTTTATGGTTGAAATGGCAAAGGTGGAATCGGTAAGCCACAATACATTGGACTGCATGCTGTATCTGCAATGTTCATATTGATGATATTACTTTCTGTTGGTGTGAAATCTCTTATGACCATTCTCTTCTGTCACCTTGGTCACCCATTTAATGGTTCTTGCTTGTTTGCCTGATCATGGTACTTGACCCTAATAGCATAATACCTAGGCTGAGTCTAACATAATTCTAGACAGAGGATTCAGATGGAAATTGCTTAATAGTTATGCCAGGTATCAACAAAACTTTGGTAGTGAGGAAAAGGGGATAAGTTGGCTAATTTAGTTTTGGTATAGCTCCTGTTATTGGTCTAGAAGTAAATATGACGTATGTACTATGCAGTGACAACTATTATCATCTATCACTTAGCTATTGGTTTGCAAACTCACCCCATATTTATGAGAAACAGATGGTTCTTTTTTAATTTTTATAGTGTGGCCATATTTGATGGCTTTACTGAGTATGTGGTCCTATTGCTTTGTCAGTTATTCCACATACGCAGTTTGGAAGCTATGGACTTCCTAGAAAAGTTTCTTTCTATGAATCCAGACTCCAGGTATAATGCTTTGCTCCATGTTTATTTATTTATTTATTTTAATCTATCTTCTTATGATTGAGAGCTAATATATACATTGTAACTATCATCCGTTCTGCAGTGGCCGTGTTAGAGTCCATGACTTTTTGAGGGTTCTTAAACTGAGGCCTTGCATCCTCTCAGAAGAGGTTTGTCATTAGATATTTACTTTTTCATATGATCTCCTACTGTTTGAACTGTTACGCCTCTTCCCATCTATGTCATTAAAAGGGCTGAGTTGCTGAGAGCAGAGTTGTTCAATGAAACTTGGGCCAATAAGTTACGAAGCTTGATATGAACTGATACTATTACTTGCTGTTCACTTAGTATATACCATATGATTTTAATTTCATCCTGATTCCTAAGTGGGAGGTTTATACCAAATTCAATGTTTGCTAACTGAAATCAGTTTCATGGAGTATAGGTTTTTGCGTTCCTTGATGTGGAAAAGAGTGGATCAATTACATTCAAACAGGTACCTTTCTCCGCTGTGTTTTCTGTCTGGCATGAGTTTTGAAGTTTTTTCATGCGTGATCCAAAGCTACTGCTGATAGTTAAACTTCGAAATTGCTAACCATTTAATTTGATGATGTCATCAGATAGCTAGCCTGGATTTGTTTGAATGTTCTATTTGGAATGCTTTTCTTCATGTTATTTGACTATTTGTCTGTTGCAGTTCTTATATGGATCATTGCACGTCATGAAACAACCACAATTCCGCAGTACGTGTGAACTGGCATTTAGCGAATGTGATATTCTTGAAGAACATGAAATCTCGCAACACGAGGTATTATGCTTGAGAAGCCACATCCTTAGATCATTTGCCTTTCAATTATTCATTCCATTGTGATGATATTGCTGATGCTGTCGTGGATTTAAACAGTTTGGAGATGTCATTCGACTTGGAATCCCAGATTTGGATGACGCCGAGGTACTTAATGACATTTATGTGTCTCTCAGTTCCCCCTTTTCCAAACCCAACTGAATCTTGCATTATTCTTAACAGAACGAATAGATACAAACTGAACTATTCTTCAGCTAAGTGATATTCCTGTTACTACCTTGCAAAACCACCAGGTTCATGAATTGTTCAAGTTGTTTGACGTGGAGGGGAAAGGGAGGGTGAGCAAGGATAACTTCACCTCCTGCTTGAGAAAGAACCCGTTGCTTATAGCTCTTTTCTCGGCATGTTTGGCTCACAGAGATGCAGTGGATGATGATGATGATAACTCAATGGTGGAGGAGATAGTGTGATTTTTTGAAGTTATTGCCTAGCATATTTTGGGACATAAATCTTGTTATGGGTTTGATTATTGTGCTGTAATCCTTTCCTTGCCCTCAAACCCCACACAGTTTGATATCGTTTTGCTTTTGTGTTGATATATTGCTTGTCAATGGAGAGAAGGGAGAGAGAAACAGTAGTGCTAGGAAGAGTTGGGCAAAGGGTAGTTTTTGTACCATGCCACACTCTTTGAAGGTATCGGTCCCGGTTCTCGCTGTGATTATTGGTGTGATGACTCATTCTCTGCCTCAACATTAGAGCCCAAAGAACAGAAAGTGTTTTGACTTAAACAGTTGATGTGAAAAGTACATGAATGGGCTTTCTCTCGTTCAAATCAACGATCAACTCTCTTACTAGGCTCAAACGATCTAGAGAAGAAGCTGTTTTCCCGGCTACACAATTTACGGTATGCACAGAAGGAATGTAGTGCTTCTTGAAATTTTTAAGCGTCAGTATTATGATTATCTCATAAACCAACGACCGGATGCTTGTTTCATGAGTGGTTTCGCCTTAAGCCCAACCTTGGAGATCCAAGTAGAGCATCTTAGAACGGCCTAGATTGGTCTTGCAAGAGTGTTACTCCCCATAAGCAAAGTTGATCCCTTGCATAACTATACAAAATCTCCCATATATACCACATCGTCATTTATGAAGGTAGACCTGGTAAATTACGAACCGACTTGTTGACCCGACTTGCATTCGCCCAAAAAAATAAGAGGAAGTTTTTATAACCCAAATGACCCGAACTCGATTAACCCGTGATTTTTGGGTCGGGTTGGGTGGCTTAGCGGGTCGACCCGTTAGACTCGTTCCATTTCATATGACACTTCCAGAATGGTAAAATCACTTATAAATTGGTGAGATGTTTAAAAAATTCACAACGATTTGAAAGACATGTTTGGAGTTCAAAGATAATCAAATATCATGTGTTTCTTGTAGTTACTCTTGTGATTGTTTTTTGACGGTTTGTGCAATTTATATTTCATTTCATTAGCATGGAATGATTTGAGAATATAATAAGTGACATGCGTTAGGTAAACTATGGTCATGCATATGTGAAAATTTGTTTTCTATAATAAAAATATGAAGCATGTTTGATATCGTTTCAGAGAGCGCTCATAACTCAAAATGACCTGTAACCCAACCCGAAACTTGATGGGTGGATCAATATTTGACCTGAAATCAGTCAACCAACATGACCCGACCCGTAACCTGAGGCCCCAACCCGAAATTACCCAACCCTGCCCTATTGCCAAGTCTATATGGAGGGTGTCTAACCTTTTTCCTTATAAATTTTAACGAGCTATATTTCTTTTGTTTTAAGTTTAATTTTTTTTTCAAATATAAATCAGATTAATTGTGCTCTTCAAGATGATATCCACTTTGATATATTTTAGAACAAAAAAATTGAGACATTTATTACCAGTCTATACCATGGTGGTGATACTTGGTATTACATAAGATCATACAACTTGGTATGAGAGTGTAACATGGTGGTATGAACATACCAGAATTTATAATGGTTGAATACATTATAAAGGGAATATACGAACTGTCATTTAGCACATTCATCATAGTTTACCACCTGTCACCATCCATATACCAGGGTGGTAAGGGGTGTTACATTATGCTCCTGTATTTTATTTTTTCCAGAAATTATGTTTTTGTATTAAGCCCACAAGTGAGTAGCTATGGACCTTAGATATACTTTTATACTATTTGATGCGTTTTGTGTAGTTTTTAGTGATTTTTCGGGAAAAAGCAAAAGCTAGGATGAATTCTGGAATGGACCTTAAGCGAGGAAGACAAAATCACGTCGGTTTAAGCTTCAGCCTTCAGGTAGGCTCGCCGTGACCCATTTAAAGCTGATTTTTGGTGAGAGGCCCAAGGACCCAAAGAGATGTGTGGACCAAATGGCAGCCCATTCTGACAATAGGAAGATCACAACGGCCCAAGACCGTCGCTGACCTCGCTGCTACTTTAGAAGTTTCCTCTTGTTGTGCAAGACAAGAAAGAAGAGTCCTAGTTCGAATAGGAAGAATTAAACCCTATGTAATGTCGGTTATTAAAAGGTTTTTAGGCATAGGGACTTAGTTTAACTAGAGGGCTTGAGTCTCATTGTAAAGATATCAGAAATCTAAAGCTAAAACATCTCTCCATTTTGGGATGAAATGCGATCGATTCCGTGATCCTAAACTATAGTAGTTTAGCCTCCACGAGATAAGAGGAGCAACCATGTTGGCGGAATCCCTCTTAATGTCGAACAAAATATGCCACCTAATTAAGGGGTGGAACCATGTGTATCTATAATCTTGTTCAGTAATAATATATCGATATTGAGGTCATGCTTGTGATTATCATTCTTGGCTTCTAACCTAGGCTATCCACATGGCATGATAGTAATTGCATGTGCATTTTAATTTGTATTTCGAAGAACTAATGCATGACATGATAAGAAATCACGCATAGACAATCATCGATCACAAATCAAGAGACAACTTGAGTTCGCTTACCAAGTGTGTCACTACTGATATAAGTTCTTTCTAACTATTCTGAGGTATTGAGGAAGATAAGGGAGTACTACTCTTGCTGCTGCCATGTTTAACATGCAACTAAGAACCTCCATACTTATATAAAAAAGGCAAGGAGATAAAGGGTAACCTTTTCTAAGCCCCTTTTTAGTTGGACAATTCCCCACTAAGCCTCCATTTATGCATAATTTGAAGCTAGTAGATTCACGACAACCCTTTACCCACTTGACAAACAATTTTGGAAGCCTCATAGCAGTCATTACACTATATAGGAAACTCCAATCCACACTATCAAACGCTTTTATTATGTCAATTTTAAGAGCTCAACGAGGAGAGACATTCTTCCTTTTATACCACTTAACCATTTCATGGGCAAAAATAATATTGTATGAAAGTAGTCTCCCTTTAAAATATAACAAAATTACTAAGTATGAGAAACACGTGCAGCTTCAGGAGAAGCCATAAATGCGAGACAAGAGGCCTAGGCATGATAAAAAAAAATACTAAGTCTGAGAAGGTCATCCCGCTTCACGAGAGGGGCCATGTGCATGATTGGGATGTCCATGACCGTGTCACGAGATGGGCCATGAACGTGAGGAAGCAGTCCCATCGCAAATTACATGGGTCATGGTGGCGATGAAGAACACATGGCATTGTTACGGGTCAAGAGGCCATGCCAAGATAAGCATCTCTCAAAGGAGACAAAAATGACTAAGTTTGAGAGGTTCATGCCGCTTCATGAGGAGGGGTCGGGACGCGAGATAAGAGGCCCTAAGCACGTTTGAAAATATATTAAGTCTGAGAAAGACATGATGACTCAAGAGAGGGCCATGTACACAAATGATAAGGGTGTGGTAGTAGAGCATTATATCACTAGTGAATAAGTCCCAAGAGAGTCATGGACATGAGTAAGAAATACATGGCCCCGAGGCAAAAGGTCCAGGACCCCCTAATAGCACAGGTTCATCAAAAGACTAGCATGACACGAGGTTTCAAACAAGACCACGCGAGACAAGCTACACTTCAAGACCCATGACAATTCCAAGATAGGCACTTAGGTGGTTGAAAGAGTAACCACCACGTCCGACGAAGCAAGGAGCAGTAATTTTTTGGAGTTATCCAACATGTGGTTTTCTACAACGGTTACCTCCTCATGGCTATAAATAGGAGGAGGAGTCAATAGAGACAAGGATTCCACAACTAGACAATTGACACCTACGTCAAACTTGACATTTTTTTCTCTCTCCAAGTAGTCATCAGTCGTAGTTTGGAGTTCTCACTGATAGATCTGTTCTCAAGAATTTCATCAATCAAACATCCCTCATTCGAACTGTGTGTTGAAGAGATTTGAACCGTTTGGTTAGAAGTCACAAAGTTGCATCCATCTTAATTCAACAAAGATTTTCTCACCTAGAAAACAATTCTCTTGTTATTTAGTAACATAATTTCCCTAGTACCAACCACCACCAACAAACAAACAAAAGATTGACGAGATAATAATTACGCTTAACATGATTATTCTACATAATCGGGACTTCTTGGAATACAATCGAGCCACTATACCGCAAGAGTGATATTCATATACCTCTCATTTCCTCCATGAAGGGAGAGTACTGTAATATTTCTAACAATTGTTTTTAAATGATTTTAAGTAAATATATTTATTAAGACTACAAATACTTTTGGAGATCATGGCCCCAGAAATGACAGGAGGGAAGGGAGAAAAGAAGACAAGGGCGAGTGTGTGGTGGACGGGCGCAGGGAAGGGAAAGGATATTTTTCTTTTTCTTTTCTTTTCTTTTGTTTTGTTTGACAGCACAGAGAAGGAAATTGATTGGTGACTAAGGGATGCGTTTTCGGCTTCCCATTGGTTCTTCCTGTACGTAGTTGTACGGACGACTCTGACAGACTTGCCCATTTGTTCATTTCCAGATCTGTTGGGCTTATTATAATAAATAAATAATTAATTATGAGGAAAATTACTTAGTACTTTCTGAAAACCCCAAAAATAGTCGTGTAGGTCCCAATTCCCTATAATGCCTACATATATATATATATATTCTCACTCCAGGGACCCACACTTCACAAGATATCTTTTATTAAGTTCTTGATGAACATTATCATCTCCAATATTAGCTTTTTTTTTATGTGCAGAACCACATTGGTAAATTCCTGATTGATAAAATAAAAGATATATATATATATAATTTATAAGAAATATTTTAATTTTAACTGATATTACGTGTTTTTTTAGTGAAATGAATGAAATGAAACGAAACGTGCTTAGTGTGCAGTAGTGCATAAATGAGTGTCATTTTGAGAAGTCCCCACTCCCCCATGACGCATTCCAAAAGCAAAAAATTGTAAACGGGGAGCAGAACTAAAAAATATCTTGGTCAAAATAGGGTTGAGCTATTACAAGTGGTATCGTAACCTCTCTGCGTCCCTCTTAAACGATGGTACAACAAACCTGAACGATGACGTTGATTCTTAAAGAGGAATGTTGTGCAGGAGTAGTCCTAAAATAATTTTTTGGTCAGAAAATGTGTTGGATGTTACATGAAGAAGGTCTAGAGAACCAAAATTTGAGGTTCATAGGAAGAACCCAGCGAGCAAAGGGTAAAATGCAGATACATGTGTAAAAGCTACGTATGGCATGAAAGAGATACATCCAAATTTATATGAGGTTATAATGCATTCGTACATTTTGAGAAAATATTAAAAACTGACGGAATAGTAGGTTATTACTTATTAGTTTGCTCTTTTCAAAAATTAAATTTCAATATTGAAATAACTCACAAATACCACATTCTCATGTGGTATTTCAGTGGTAATTGAAATAAAGTATCTCGTTTCTGTTGAACCATGCAAATGGGGTACTTGACATGTAGTATTTGGTAAAGCAGAGTGGTAAAACGAATTATTTCAAAATAACACATGTGTATGAGTTATTTCAAATAATTCACTGTCCAAATAACTCATTTTAGTAAAACGCTGCCAAACAAGTTATTCGTGTTTAAATAACTCATTATAAGTTATTTAACCCAAATAACTCACAAATAACTCATACAAATATCAAACGACCCTCGCATAAAAAAAATAAAATCAAACGACCCCTAAAATCAACACAGTTCTCTAAAAAAATAGTTTCATATTAAATATTAGTTTACAGAGATTAACTATATGTTATGATCTCAGATGCAACTGATTCGAAGTATTGATACATTAACAAGGAAACTAAACAAGTGGATAAGCAAAATAAGAGATAAAAACTCTTTTTATTTTACTGTTATTATATAAAAATTTATAAACTATCACTAAGTGGAAGTATAACAACAAAAACTATTAGTAAGTGGAGGCATAACAATAAAAATCTAAAAAAAATTAGTGGGGAGCCGACATACAATCTGAGTCCGCACTTCTTTAGTTATAGCAAAGTTAAGTTTAGTAAAAATGTACGTGGCTGCCCAAACCTCCGAATTCTGAGAATTTATGGATCCACTTGAGCAAAATCACGACATTCGTACCAAACTCTCCCAGTAAAGAAAATGAAAAGGGTAGGAAACCATAACCAGCCGCCATGCACAAGTCTCGATACTAGGCACACTTTCGCTGAGCAACATCAACAACAACTCAGTCGGGCTTAAAACCAATCATCCTAATCTGAGTTAGAGGTGAAGATCCAGTCAGATCGATACACACATCTTGCCCTTTATCCCAGGAATATAACAGTAAATTCGTAAGACGAAGGGGTCCGCCATGCCCATCAACCAAACCGATATCAACCTTTCTACCAGCAGAAATTCCAAACCTGTAATAGATGGTAGTAGTATGATTGTACGAGGACGTGATTATTAAGATAACAAAAGCTATACATAAGGTTAGGGCGGGATATGATGTGAAATCTGAGGTTAGATTAGAAACAGAGAGGGGATTTGCAGCAAACACGGCCTTTGAAATTGAATTTACAGGTTTTTTCCCCTTTTCCCACTTGGAATAAGTTGCGTTGCTTGACTTTAATTGGTGCATCATGGATATTACCAAAACAAGAAAAAGAAGGTGGTATACGTTTAACCTCACTTGCAAAGGAGAAATGAAAAGGAAAAGCAGTATGATTATAACATTGATAATCATCACTTAATAGAAGATAAAAGGTAGCACCATATATAATATAATATAACATAGTAATAACAAGATAATGTAAGAGAGGAGATTTGTGTGGCAAGGTTGTCAAACAATTTAAATTATTATACGGGTTTAGTAAGTTGTATGTTTTAATCTGAATATAGTTCATGCAAATTTTATCAAAATAATTGAAAAAAGTGGAAATTTGTTAACACCAAATTACGGTTTGAATAATAATGAATGAATTTAGCACGCTACATCAGAATGACAAAGTGATTATCTAAATTTTAATAACCATAGACTTTGGACTTGATATTTTCGATAGATCCATAACATAAAGGGAACATATAAGATGCATAGCCTACCTAGCAATAACGGGTCAAGTTCCCGTCAATAACCCCATGGTTACTCATCATGAGTAAGAGTAACTAAATCTCAGGCATCAGATTTAAGTGGGGCCATAAAATTCAGATCCAAAGGTGAGAAATTAAACGCATATTTATTTTTCATTATTTTATTAATCGGCTCATATCTTCTTCGTTTTAACTCGGATTTCAATTTTTTTTTCACATATGAAACGAGTTCGTTTTTAAGTCATTTTTTAAAATGTTTGCATAGAAGGAATGAGTTAATCATGATCTATTGGATCTACAAATTTTTGGGTGAACAAAATACAGGACAAAAAAATATCACACAATACCACCCTGATACGTGGTGGTATCTTGTGGTACACAATGTTGAAAGTCGTAAATGACTGATAGTATACTCCTACTATCATGTATTCAATCACCCTACAGTCTTGGTATGTTCGTATCACCATGGTAAGCTTTTTGCATTTCATATGGTATGCTCTTATTTAATACCAGTCAAGACCATATGATATATCCTAGTTAAAAATGACTCAATTTGTTTGTTCAACAAAAATATATCAGACTGAATATGATTTTGAAGCTTATTCATTAGTATTCAACAGCTTACAAATGAAAAAATGCTTTTGATTTGTAGAATAATAATGAATAAGCTGCTGTTGTTAATCAATAATCACGTAAGCAAGTAAAATAAGGGAATTGCTGGAAATAGGCAGGGTCTGAGGAAGGAACAGAGATGGAAAAACAGTGAAAGATTGATGAATAAGGAAACAAACAAAACAAAGCCGGTTGGTTGGTTGATGCTTTCCTGCTGCTGCTTCGTTTTCGTGAACCAGGAAACAATTGGTTAAAAAAATAAAACAAATTCGATAATAAAAAAAACGTAATTAATTAAAGAAAAAAAAAAAAGTAGTACTAAGTACAGAAGGTAGCTGGCTAGAGCTAGTTTGTTGAGCGAGCGAGCTGAGAGCATCTCTTCTCTCTCTCTCTCTCTCTCCTTCTTTATTTGGGTTTTTGCCATTTCCTGCATAGTTCTTCTCTTCTGCCAATCATCGATCCTCTCCTCACCATCTCCTTCCCTTCCTTCCCATCAATATCAGAAATTTATTTACCCTTCCCGTCGGTCGATTCCTTTTCCTGGTTTCCTTTTTTCTCTTTACCCCTCTCTCTCTCTCTCTCTCTCTCTCTCTCTTTGCTCTGCACTGTGCTGCTCTGCCTTGCTTGATTTGGCATAGGATTTCATTTTGCTTTTGGGTGATTTTCCTTGTCAAACCCTTTTTCTGGGGTTATTGGCTTTTATGGTAAAAATTTCCAAAATCGCTCATCCACAACCAACCTTTGACCTCCAAACCCAGCCAGCCACACTGCCCAGATAAGGGAAAAAGGAAAAACCCACCTCTTCCTCCTCTCCTCTCCTCTTCCTTTCTCCCTCCTGGTGGTGAAATTGGGAAGCCCAAAAGCACCAAAATTTTCCAAATTAATCCCTCTCTCTCTCTCTCCCACTTCGCTTCTTCTCAACTAAGAATCCATAAGCCCATAACCCTTTACTTATATTCCTTTCCTTCTGGGGGTTTCTGTTCTTGAATCTGGTTTGTTTTCCTGTGCTGGTTTTTCCTGCTCCCCCTAGCTACTACCTTAATTACTCGAAAATCACAACCAGCAGCAGCAGCGACACTGTTTGGGTGTGTAGGGGAAGGGAGTTTGTCTCTTTCTTTGGGGGGTGAGTTAATTAGTTGAGTTCCATTTCCTTCTTTGTTAACTAGATTAATTAAAATTGCTCTCTCTCTCTCTTTCTCTGAATATCATATCCATATAGCTAGCCTGCTTGATTATATATGTTGTTATTACATATATAAAATAATAATAATAGCCCATGTGATTTGTTGTTGACCGATTTGATTAGTTACATACAAAAGGGTAGGCGATGATCCTCGTTTCTGTCGAAAAAATTTTCAGCTGGGGGTCGGTTTTGGGTTTCCGATCTGAAGAAAGAAAACCGGACATTGAAGTCTGGGAAGGAGCAGCAGCAGCAGCAGCCGAGAGAAACCAGAAGAAGAGAGAAAGAGGCGGCAAGATGGTGCGGGGGAAGACGCAGATGAGGAGGATAGAGAACGCGACGAGCAGGCAGGTGACCTTCTCCAAGCGCAGGAATGGGCTGCTGAAGAAGGCGTTCGAGCTGTCTGTGCTTTGCGATGCCGAGGTTGCCCTCCTCGTCTTCTCACCTCGCGGCAAGCTCTACGAATTCGCCAGCGCCAGGTACCATTTTACTTTTCAGTCATCGTTTCCTTCTTTTTGCATCTTCTTCCTTTGATCTATATGTGTGTGTATATTCCTTCCCCCCTACATTTGCTTTTTAATTAGATTTTACCAAGCTATTTTCTTTCTTGGCTCTCGAAGAAAGAAACTTTCTTTCTTCCTGCGAGAGCGAAGTACATTAGAGTCGAATCTTTGTGTTCCTTTCAGCTTCCTGGGTTTAATTAGTAGGAGGAGAGACTCAACATTGATGTTGGTTTTGTGACTATTTATTAATGTTACTTCTTCTTCCTTCTTCTCCCAGATCTTCCATTTACTCGATATTTCGTAATGATTATGAAACCTTATCGAAGATTAACCTAACGAAACTAACATCTTTTAATAAATTCGTACCGATCTAGACACGAGTAAGCAACGATTTCAGTAACTGTATACTTCTGTCATAACAAACGAACAAAGGGTACTTGGTTAAATGCAAGTTCTTTGTGCTGTTTCCTTCCTTGCTTGTAAGGAGCCTGCCTGCACTACTGTTTTTACACTGATTGGTGACCCCTTTCTTCATATCCGTACGTAGACAAAGTATTATATGGTGAAATTATATGTGCTAAACAAGATTCTATTTTGAGCATTGAATACTGGTTTAGTTCTATGGATTTTTCCCCCCTTCTTTTCTTTTTATTAACTGATGATGGGTATACAAAAGGAGGAGTGTGCTGTTTCCTTCCACTGGTTGGTTTCAGTGTAGTGTCTGCAAACTTTGCAACTTGCAAGTGTGTACTAGTAGGAGTACTACTACACCCTAAACAATACTATTTCAGTCACGTTAAGTTTTGGAGTGGGTCAGTGACGATGCCAATATATGGATGGATAGGCTTGAAATTAAAGTCTTTCAGGGAGGATATTTACATATGATTCCTTTTTGGTTGATGCAAACTAACTAATTAATTAACTAACTAACTAACTAACTAACTAACTAATTCTGGACCGACTGCCATTTGGTAACTTTATATAAGTTAGTTTACAACCAAAGGGTGAGGATCTAATGCGAAAGTATAAATGGGTAGCTGGCTGTGGTACTACTTAGTAGTACTGATGATATGCCGTCACTTGACAACACACTAACCTTTTCTGGGAGGATATACGATTCTTTGCTATATTTTTTGACACTTCCTGTCATTCCTATGAAATAAACAGTTTTATAATATAATGGATTTCGTTTTGGTTGAATAATAGGATTGAGCTAATTTGTTCTTTTTGACATTCGGTTCAGGAAAAACTCATTTGAAACTCGGACCTTGTTTGCTAATGAGCTGAGTTTGAGCTAAACTTTTATTCACTTTGAGAGGCTCGTGAGTCAGCATGACTAAGTGACTAGTAGAGCTCAACTCGTGGGTTATACGTTTTTGAGATCATAAGATGGCTCGATATTGTAGCTAGCGAGTCAACTCAACTACTATAAGCTCATGAGCGGATTAATCTACATCATATGAGTTGGCTTGTTCATCATTTATAGGTTTGTTAGATTATATATTTGATCACATATGATGTTTAATATATGTGAACATTTATGTCTCATTTTTATAATTGGAAAGCAAATTATGTATAATAAATTGCTTAAATACTAACTATTGCAAAATAATAAGATGTGAACTAGTTAAAATACGAACTAAATAATATAATATCAACGTAGTATATAAACATGATATCAACTAATGATGAAAGTTCTGTTATTGCTTCTTTTTCATCATGACATTAATTACATGTATCTTACATGACATACAAATATTAAGATATTTACTTTATAAATTATTTTAGAGTTTAGTTTAAGGTTTCACTATCTATAATGATAAATGAGTTGAGCTCGAACTGGTTGATGACCCAAATTCGATAAGAACTCATTATCTCATTAGTGAGTCGAGATAGAGTCAAACACGAATAAATGTTATAGTAAACGAGTCGTGCTTGAGGTAGACTCGTTTACTAATGAGCTAAGCCGTGTTAGACAAAACTCAACTCTACTCATTGACCATCCTGATTGGCAATCTTTGGAAGCTTATTGTATCCTTGGTGACTTCTTATTGTACACAAGATAAATCTAGGGTACCTCATACCTTATTAAGAAAATGCTATATGGACTTCGAATTAACCATAATTTGGAGAATGATACTAGACTTAACCCTTACTAAGTGCATCCTAGGTTCTAATTATTAAAATCATAAATCCTAAACTCTTAAGATCGTATATGTAATTTGGTGCATGTATTTTGATGATTATAACCATCAATTATTATCTCTAATTAAATTGACCTTAATGTATAGGATTTAAAGAATTAATGAATACATAGATTTTAATTTTGAAGTACAATATTTCAAAGTCTAGTCAATTCAAAATCTAAATAGTATTTTTTTGCTCTAGTTATGGGGTAACTCTAGATTTACCCTTAGGATAGAACTCCCCAAATATATTGGACCCTGAAGTCTATATATGACATATGTATAATCTCTCGAGGGTGAGCACTAAGTAAGCAAGCATTTCAAACTGCAGGTTATTTTGTTCGTTTTAACGCATTTGAAGCCTTGCCAAGATATAATTAGAAGAAATTTTGTATTTTGATAAAAAAATGTATTTAATCCTTTCTAATGTTAAGAAACACTACTTTTTCATTGCTTTTTTCCACTGTAAGGTTCTGAAAGATTACTGGTAGATCAAACCAACTTTTGGTATAAGTAATATGTGAATGTACGAATGAGTGGCAATATATTCATCATATTTTGAGGTACTATATCAACTATAAAATTAAGTTGTAGGGTTTGTTAGTGAAGTCATGCTTCTACTTTTACTCTTTGTTACTTCATTTCTCCCATTCCATTATAGTTTTCCCTCTACCTTAGGGGTCGTTTGGAAGTTGCGATTTCGGATGATGTATTTAGACAATACATGTAATTAGGATAATTTATCATTTTTTTACCTTAAAATAAAACAAAATACTTGTATTTGAATAGAAGATCATACCACCACGATTATTCATTATGGATGATTGTCAATCTCATCTTTGAGATGGTCAATCTCTCATTTTTTTCTTACTCCTTTATTGTCACTTTTATCGGGGTTTGTAATTGCAAGTATTGAAGAGCGTTTTTTAGAATATGCTACATCAAGAATCTCATTCATAATCAAATTGTGTTAGTTATTATGAAGGTTTAGGGTACCAAGATGGTAACAGAAAGTGTTAGTTATTATAGAATGAATATTTGATGTAGCAAATGTACTCATATATCCAAATTATGTAATTTTCCCTTAATTTTTGAATATTTTAACTTTCACTATTATGCTATAACAAATGTACTCATATCTTTAAGTATAGTTTGGTAGTTTTCCCTCTTGCTCATTTGTAGGGTTTCGTTGTAGTTTGGGGGTAACAGAATCTACAGATATGATTGTTTATTGAGGAGCACCATAGTTTTAGGTATGGATTTTCGGAGCTTATTGAATTTTTTATTTAACTAATAAACAATGTACTCATATATTTAAGTGTATAAATTTTATTAGCATGCTTAGTTCACTATTGTGCTATAGAAATATACGTATTCACGAAAATGCAATAATTGAAATATATATATTAATAATTTTTTTTTTATATATTTCCTAATCTTGGACAATCCGCTAGACTGTCTGTCGGGAGCGAATCGAGTGCACAATCTTGTGATGCATAATCATGTATAAGCTATCACATCATCATTTATGAAAGACCTCTAATCTTTTTCTCTCTAAATTATAATGGGCTATTTCTATTTCTATTTCTATTTCTATTTCTATTTCTATTTCTATTTCCGTTTAAGTCATAATTTATTTTTTTACAGATAAATAAGATTATTTGTGCTCTATAAAATGATATACACTTTGATATATTTTGGAACAAAAAAATTGAGACATTTATTACTAGTCTACTATAATGCTAATGCTTGGTATTATATAAGATCATAACAGGTGATATGGAAGTGTACAATGGTGGTATGACCATATCAGAGTGTATAATGATTGTTTACATGATAGTAGAAATATACTAACTGTATTTATCATATTTTATCATTGTTTATAACAAGTAACCACCCTATACCTAAGTGGTATGAGGTGGTATATTTTGGTCCTGAAATTTTTACAATTTTGTAGATCCAATAATCATTATAAATTCGTTAATTCCATGCATAATTTGATCCTGACCTTTCTATAACCCATGGTTATGCAACCTCGTTACTTTTTGGGTTTTCAATAATCTCTTCCAACCATACATATATAACTGAATGGAGTTTAAAACCAGATGCACTTTTTTACTTTTATGTTTTTGGGTTTAAAATGTACAAACTTGAAAACAAAATGGAATCATATAATGTATTATGAAAATAAAAGTGGTATGAAAATGTAGAATAGACATAAACCAGATATCCAACCTTGATATGGCTGAATCAACCGCATCCTCGTTCCCTCTTTGTATAATACATGGTAGTAACCAAAACATATATATGCCTACAACGTACGTACTTACTGTCTTCCTCATGTCTAAAGCATGCATTCATGCCCTTGCACGTCCGTGGCTGATCTCTTCTTTTGTAACTCTGCTGTATTATGGCCTTGGAACGGTCTTCTTCCTCCTGCCTGAATCATTGATATCGATGCTTTTGCTGGCTGTTGAGTTCAGCATGCAGGGCACAGTGGAACGTTACAGGAAGCATGTGAAAGACAGTCCAAAACCCAGACCGCCACCCGAGCAAAACATGCAGGTTTAGTTTTCACCATTTCCTTTATTTTTGCAGTCGACCGTCTGAGTCACTTCCTGTGCCAAAATGCATGACTTTTGTGATTGGGAATGGCAGCAGTTGAAGGAGGAAGCAGCAAACATGATGAAAAAGATACAGGTTCTTGAAGCCTCCAAAAGGTTTAACTTACCATCCAATTTTGCATATCCAATATTTCTCCCCCTTTTCACGCATGTACAAGAAAATGGAGACTGAAGGTAACAACAAAATCTCTTTTTTTTTTTTTTGTCTAAACACAGGAGGATGATGGGAGAAGATCTAGGATCATGCACTATGGAAGACCTACAGCAGATTGAGCAACAGTTGGAGAAGAGTGTCGGCGTCGTTCGAGCCAAAAAGGTATCTCTATCATGCGCATATATCTTTTCAACTCTTTTAGGGTTTCAATTAGAATGCCTAGCCCGTTGTTGGTCCAAGTTTGAACGTAAGCTAATCATCAGTGAGGCCAGGCTTCTTTTTCCCCACTACCATCAGCTTCATTTCTTAGGGTTTCAGTTGCTTGAACATTTATTAGCTAGGTAAGTAAAGTTATAAATATGGGTAACGGTGGAATTTGTACTGAATCAAATCATCTGTGCATATATATGTCCAGAACCAAGTCTTCAGGGATCAAGTTGAGAAGCTGAAAGAAAAGGTGATTTGTTTTTACCTGGAGGGTTAATGACATCTCTCTACTTTATAGTTAACCCCGCTTTTACCTTCTGCGCACGAGCAATAAGCATTAGAGAAATGTATTGAAGAAACTTTTTTTGGGTTTGTCTATCTGCCTGTCTATGTTGCAGGAGAGAGTGTTGTTGGCTGAGAATGAGAAGCTGTGCCAAAAGGTCAGCACTGCTTCACAATATGACTCCTATACTATTATGCTGTGGGCCTGTGGCATGAATTTGCTAACGTGATGACTAACCAAACTAAATGTTTGCCCTAAACTTTGAACATGGGATGTTTTGGAAAGTGTTAATGTTCCCAAAATGATTAGAATTGGGTATTATATATAAAGAATGAGTTTTGGTTGTGCAGTGTGGAACGGACTCATCAATGCATGAAGAGCAAGAGCAGCAGCAGCACCAGCAGAAAGAGAAAGAGAAGGAGAAGGAACAGCAGAATGAAAATTCAGGGTATGATGAAGGCAGTCCAGTTTCAGATGTGGAGACTGAACTCTTCATTGGACTTCCAACCAAGCGCTTGCTTCCTAGGAATTAGTAGCTAGCATTCCATTGATTGGCCTTTGCAAGCTGCAGCTGGGTGTTATTACTTCATTTCCACATTCGGCCCCTCCTGATCAAGTTATGCTGTCCCTCTTGGATGGAAGTTTATGTTCATGTTTCGACGCCTCAACTGTTCTATCGTATTCATTTTCTTCTTATGCTATATATATAGAGAGAGAGAGCTGTGACATTTCAATAATGTGGTGATGAGTGCCAACATGAACTGTATTTCATTGGGTTGGCATCTCATCCGATCCTAGCTTTATCCCCCCTAGCGATCCTTTGTAAAACCATGACAATACTTTGTTCCCACAAATCTGAAGTAATGTGTTGTTGGTGACTATCCATATCTAGATTTGTACATGTCCACCACAGTAGTGGGGAATGGAGGGAAGTCAAAAGTACCTTGATTTGCATTTTGGCAATGAGAATTAAAAACACATTAATTACTTTCCTTTTTTTCCCCAGTGCACTAGTAGTTGAATCAGTGCAATCGTATTAGTGTACAAGTGCAATGGTAGTTCCAAAAAAGGAACGTAATTAATATGAGTTCAGTATAAATGTGCAATGGTAGTTGTATCAGTGCAATGGTAGTTAAAAAAAAGGAATGTAATTAAGATGAGTTTTTAATTTCCAAAGATTATTAAATGCAACACGAATTTAATACAAAAAATAACTTTAATTAATAGGGGTGTCATTTTTCCAACCCTTAGAAGGGTTAGCATGCTAACCAATCCCGATATGATATTCCATTAGACCAGTGTGTGAGAAAGCGACAATTTATTACGAACGCCGACCGTGAGCTAGTTTGGAAGGAGTTTGTGGTTGCTCTATGTGGAAGGTTCGACGATTGGACACTTGATGGAATTGTTGGTGTGTGCAACATGCTAAGGCAAATGTGATTCGTTAATGAAATACCAGGAGAAGTTTGAGGATATGAAGCCACAAACGTCGCAATACAACCCTGCCTTGGCCGAAGAATTCCTAAAAAAAAATTTCAATTCTAGTTTAATTAGTGGCTTGGCAAAGGAATTGAGTCCGACAGTGACTATGATGCAACCTCAATCCTTTGCCCACGCTATATTTATTGCTAAGCTGGAAAAGGCTTCTAACGAAGCTAAAACAAGGAGGATTAGTTGGAAGTCCTCAGCTAAAACACGCTATATTAATGGAGGATTAGTTGGTTACTTTCCTGCTAAAAAGGGTCTTAGACAGGGTTGTCCATTATATCCTAATCTGTTTACTATAAGCATGGAAGCCTCAGCAGTATTTTGAACATAGCTGCAGCTAGAGCAGTCCTCCCTTATCATCCTTAGTGCCTCAGAATTGGTCTCACTCACCTCTGTTTCGCTGACGATTTGTTGATTTTCACCAAAGGTTCAGTGGAGGCAGTGAGTTCAATTGCTGCAATCTTGAATAAATTCTACTTAGTTTTTGGTTTAAGATGCAACTCATCTAAAAGTGAGATGTTTAGTGCTGGAGTGTCTGTTGAAGCACAAGCTGAATTGGCTAGGAGTTCAAGGTTTAAAGAAGGAGTCCTCCCAGTCCGTTATCTTGGTATTCGTCTGAATGCAGGGAAGTTGAAAACAACAGATTGCAGTGTTGGCCAATGTCACTCAATTCTGGATGAACATCATTCGGCTCCCAAAAAAAGTAATAAGGGAGGTGGAAAGACTGTGTTCTAAATTTCTTTGGGGAAACCTGGAGCAAGATAAAAAGGCTAAAGTTGCCTAGAAGCATGTAGCTCTACTAAAACAAGAAGGTGGCCTAGGATTCAAGGACTTATGGTTATGGAATTAGGCATGTTTAATTCGGCATATCTAGGTTGCACTTGCTGACTAGGAGACTCTCTGGATTGCTTGGTTGAATGAGTACAGGTGAAGGAATCTCATGGGAAACTCAGACTAATGGCTCCTAGGTCTGGAATAAAATTCTCAAACTCAGACCTCTTGTATGCTCTAATCTAGTAAAAACAGTCAATGGGGGGTAGAATGTGATGGCTCTCTCATGGATCGATTTAGTATTGGTAAAGTGTGGGACACCATACGTCCAAGTAGGGGTGGCAGTTCGGTTGTCGGTTAGCGACTAACCGGTCGGTTTGACCGATAACCGCCGGTTAGCGGCTAACCGAAAACCGCCCTTTACTTGTAGCGGTCGGTTGCCGGAAGGGCTGAGGGGTGCTCAGCAGTATGTTGAACAGAGCTGCAGCTAGAGCAGTCCTCCCTTATCATCCTCAGTGCCTCAGAATTGGTCTCACCCACCTTGTTTCGCTGACGATTTGTTGATTTTCACCAAAGGTTCAGTGGAGGCAGTGAGTGCAATTGCTGCAATCTTGGATAAATTCTACTTAGTTTCTAGTTTAAGATGCAACTCATCTAAAAGTGAGATTTTTAGTGCTGGAGTGTCTGTTGAAGCACAAGCTGAACTGGCTAGGAGTTCAGGGTTTAAAGAAGGAGTCCTCCTAGTTCGTTATCTTGGTATTCCTCTGAATGCAGGGAAGTTGAAAACAATAGATTGCAGGGTGCTTGTGGACAAGATTACTAATCGTATAAGAGGTTGGCAACCTAAGCTTCTGACATATGTAGGTAAGCTCTAGCTTGCAGTAGCAGTTTTGGCCAATGTCACTCAATTGTGGATGAACATCATTCAGCTCCCAAAGAAAGTTTATAAGGGAGGTGGAAAGGCTCGTTCTAAGTTTCTTTGGGGAAACCCGGAGCAAGATAAAAAGGCTAAAGTTGCCTGGAAGCATGTACCTCTACTAAAACAAGAAGGTGGCCTAGGATTCAAGGACTTATGGTCATGGAATTAAGCATGTTTAATTCGGCATATCTAGGTTGCACTTGCTGATCAGGAGACTCTCTAGATTGCTTGGTTGAATGAGTACAGGTTAAGGAATCTCAACATTTGGGAAACTCAGACTAATGGCTCCTAGGTCTTGAATAGAATTCTCAAACTCAGACCTCTTGTATGCTCTCATCTAGTAAAAAACAGCCAATGGGGGGTAGAATGTGATGGCTCTCTCATGGATCGATTCAGTATTGGTAAAGTTTGGGACACCATACGTCCAAGACAAGAGGCGGTTCCATGGTCTAATTTAGTATGGAAAGGTCCCCAGATTCCTAAGAATTCCCTATTAACATTGCTCATTCTAAAAGGTCGAATTACAATCTTAGATAAAGTCAAGCAATGGAGCCCTGAAGTCAATGATACCTGTCCTCTTTGTCAATCAAAGTCGGAATCAAATGAGCACTTGTACTTCTCTTGCTCCTACATCCAAGAAGTATGGGGAATGGTATTTGTTTCGTGGCAGTTCCCATTATATATTTGTAGAAATGCTAATAATATCCATAGATTATTCATATTATTAAGTTAATATTTTCAAAAACACTAATAACATTCAAAAATTATCCATATTGTTAATGTTAGATACAAAATGGCGTCGTTTTGCTTCTTGGGTGCGAGTTGGATTTTACAATACACAAGCCCAACCCAACACGCTAATTTTAAAAAAAAATAGATGAAAACTGCATCCTACTCAGAACCCGTCAACACTAAATTTTACCCGGTTTGAGCGGATTGAATCGGACTGAATACCTGTCTATTCGGTTCAATTGCCATCCGGAGGCAGCACCGCTGCAGCAATTCAACCTGCTTCCATGGAGCAAGGGCCCATCTAAATTTAGACTGAATCTGAGCTGGGCCTCAGCAATTCAATTGGGGCGCGGAAGCTTACATAAAGCCCAACAAGGAAACAATTTCCCCTTGTCGTCGCCGCCTCTCTTAGCACGAGCACGAGCACGAGCAAAAGCCGAAGCTTCCAGTTTCCAGAGTTGCAGCAAAGCAAAGAACGGTCGAGGGCAGCAGTGTACTAATGGCGGGATACGCAGAACCAGCGAAGAGACAAGGAGGGAGACCGTTGCCGCCTCCTGGCAATAGAGGTCCGCCTCTTTCTAAAGGCCCGCTTCCCCCTGTCGATAGGGAGAAGGTATTCTTCCTTTTTTCTCCAGTCGGTCAGAATCTATTTGCTAGGGTTTGAGCGCCATCTCGGCATATGCGTCGGAACCTCTAGGGTTTCGAAATTTGATTTGCAGAGCGTGTCAATGTCGCATAGTAATAATACGGAGAATTAGGGAGGAATCGAGGTGACCTTTTCGCGTCTGTAATTGGATTTCTGGCTTGTGCCTTTCAAACTGCGAAAGTCCGCCTAACGTTGAAATATGTTTCAAGTGTTTGATATAGTTGGATGACCTTAGCTGAAGTGTTACATATCTTCTTTAGCTGTGACTATGAATGGTTTGCTTGTGTAACTCTAATGACCTTTTTCTCTGTTTTGGAAATTTTTTGCAGACATGTCCTCTGTTGCTTCGGGTTTTCACCAAGGTAAGCTGACTATGTTTAGGGCATTGTTCAATGATCTTGCTGTATGTTTTAACTTTTCGGGCATGGAATGTGGAAACTATTTGGAAGCATCTACGATGAACTCTTATAATTTCACTCTCAACAATGGTTTCTAACTGAACAGAACGTTAAATTCCTTGTTTAATGAACTGTTGTACGTACATCGTTTGTGAATTAAAAGCTATTAAGTTGGACTTCTGCAGATTGGAGGTCATCACTCTAAGGAAGAATTTCAAATTAGAGGCAAGGAGCCCAAGGACGAGGTTCAAATCTACACATGGATGGATGCTACTCTTCGTGAATTGACGGATTTGGTACGTAGCAATCATCTTAGAGAACCTCGAATGTTTTTTGACTTAGCTAAGTTAAGGTCCCTTTGGCTGAATGTGCATCTACTTTTTTTTGCCTTTTCTTTAGAATCAGTTCACCCCCAACTCAACTGGACTGTTTTTAAGAATCTCTACGCGTTGTTTCTTCCTAGTCAGTTCAAACCTTGAGCATTCCTCTATCTTATTGCCAGTTACTGTTATTAGTATCTCTAGAGTGCAATATTCTGCACCTCACCCCATTTTCGCACCACTTGCTGTTTTCCTGTTACCTTTAGTCTGTGATAGTCTGAAAGTATTCGCGGTTCTCACAGTCCGTGAGGTTGAACGGGTATATGGTGACATTACCTATCCATCAGTTGCACTTAGACAAGTCTGCACTGGGTCCAAGAAGAACTTCTTTATTTTGTTCTGCTGGTTAAAATTTCAAGCTTATATATTAGTACGTGGAATGTATTTTGGTCCTTAAAATAGGATTGCAAAATGCTCTTGTGCTTCAGTATCTTCACCTAATTATATTTTTATTTCATGGTTACTGATTCGCTACACCTGTAACTTAACATGAACTTTTTTTTAAAGATTTTCGGTTTCCCGTGTATGTGTACCTGTTTTTAGGTCAAAGAAGTGGCTCCAGCGGCAAGGAGAAGAGATGCGTTACTTTCTTTTGCTTTTGCCTATCCAGATAGGAATGGCCGTTTTGTGGTGCGGGAGGTTAGTTCCTCTCTCTCTCTCTCTCTTTCTCTCCAGATGATTACTTATGAAATGATGTATGAAGTTACCTGGTTACTCAACAACTTCTGGTGCTATTAACTTCACAATTTCGGTCCTTTTTTCACTGGGAGGCTGATCATGAATGATTATTTGTGTCTTGAAGGTTGGGAAGACTTACTCTAATAGGGTTGGGAAATTAGACGACAACAAGGCATTGGGCGAGATTGGATTCGCGGTAATGGAAGATGTCCTCCATGAACATATTGTTATTTTTTTTCTTCCTGTGGGAGCCTACTTCTTGAATCGCATGTGTTTCGCTTTTCTGCAGATTGGTGATTACCTGGATGTGGCGATTCAGTAAGCGAGCTCGTTGTGGTTTTATTCAGTGAAGTGATCCTTGCATCTGAAGCATGCTATGTCCAGTGTTGTACTTGCCAGTTATTTGCGATTGCTAAGTGAATGTAGGGTTTGACAACTAGTCATTAAGAGTACATAGGTACTTGATCGTGCGATAGAAACCCATCGGATTATCATCGTCGAGCCTTTTTATTAACGATTCCAGAACAGAATGAGACGTTACTGAACTTGTGCTTTTGAGATTTGGGTGATATATCAGCGCTCCTAAAGTTTGAGATGTTTTTGTTAATGGTTGATATTTCCATATGGTTTGAACTTTACTCTTCTTTAAAATGCTGAAACCTTGAGCCCTCTTATGATCCCTATTGAGGACGGGATTATCCTCTAAATCCATAGTCTCCTCTGTTTTTATTCCTTCATGCTCCACAATCCACATCATTCCCTCTCAATCCCCTTTCAAAGATTTGAGTTTCCATGCTTAACCCAAAAAATTTAAGCATATGGTTAATCCAATCCTATTAACTGTTTGTAATACAGGTAGTTAATAATTAGTTTATGGTTAGTATTAGTTATTGGTAAAATGAAGAGAGAATGACTCGAGTGGTTAGGAGAAGGTTATGCTGGATTTTATACCACATTCTAACATGAAAAATTTAAGGCAGAAGGCTCTGAGAGGTAAAATGAAGTGAGAGATAACATCATTCCACTATTTCTCCCCATTTTTAGACTCGTAAGGTTCTTGTATGCCTTGGGTGACCTTTTGCCTAAATTGGACAATTTATGGTATGGATTGTTATCGAGTATTACTAGTATGCATTTACATATTGCGAAGAATGTAATTATGGTAATCATTTGTTAATTTTTTTATATGCATCAAACTAACCGATATTAAATTTAATATATTTCGAGAATTTTTTTCCTTTGTGATCTACAAAATGATATTCACTTTCAATATATTTCGCGAAATTGTTTTGTACCACCCATACCACTTGTTACCAGTCTAGTACCATTTAATACCACTTTCGCTTTTAACTCGAATTTTGGAAAAATTTCCCTAGAATTAACGAGTTCGACGTGATCTATAAGTTTCTCGAAACAAAAATTCATGATCAAATATACCACCCTGATATAAGGTGGTAACATGTGATTGGCGGTGATGAAAAGTGGTAAGACCATTAGTGTATCCCTACTATCATGTATACAATCATTATACACTTTTATGTACTCATAATATTTTTTTTTTGATGAATTGTACTCATAATATTATTGTTCACTTTAATACCAATATTCTGTAATACCTAGCATTATCACGTGGTATGGACTTGTAATAAATGTCTCAACTTTTTTTTCCCAAAATATATGAAAGTGGATGTCAATTTTAAGAGCATAGTTAATATGATTTTCTGTGAAAAAGTTAAATTATGACTTATATAAAAAATGAATAGCCCGTTAAAATTAAAAAGAGAACTTAGAGGCCTTCCATAAATGGTAAGTGAAACGTTTATGGGTGCATAACCATGCTAACTCTATACATAGCATTTATAGAAGGCTACTAACTTTCCCCCAATAAATTTTATAACAGGCTATATCTCTTTCGTTTTAATGCTACTTACTAATTCATATCATGTTATACTACTTGGTATGTATATAAGATTATATCACTTGATATGGAAGTGTATCATGGTGGTACGAACTACGAACACATTAGAGTGTAGAATGGTTGAAAATGAATATCATTTTGTAGATGACCACGAACCTGTTCCATCTGTGTAATTTTTTTTGAAATCCAAGTTATAAATAAGAAGATAAAGTGTAAACCTTGAATTTACATGAAACCCTAAGATCGATAGAACAACATGATAATCACATGAAATAGAAAAGAGATTAGAAGAATACCTCCTTCCATGGTGATTGAGAGAGAGCTTATGAAGAAGTAGCAATGTTGAATTTTGAGATTCCCTCTCCTCGCCTATAAGTCACTTGATATATGTGTTTCTTATCATATGCTATTGTGATGGTCCAAAGCATACAATTTGTAGGTGGAGAGAGGACCAAAATTCCTATTAAGTTTTATCTTTACACTTTATCTCAACCATCCATCATGGAAGAGTTACAATAGGAACATAACTCTTTGGAGTTATTAATCTTTGATAACTCCTTATTCTTATAACCAATTGAATCAAATGTAACACTCCTATTCCTTTCATAACTCATGGGTTTCATAATAGATCATATTAAGGATGAGATAACTCTCTTGCACTAAAAGTTATCTTACAGTATATATATTCTCAATAATATCGTTATAGCCGTAATTATTAGCTCAAAAAAAAATTGAGCAATATATAAACTTTAGACAAAAAAAAAAAAAACACAAGAAATCTGTGGATTTTCTTCGTTTTCATTATACATTTCTCCTTTATTATTGTTAAGCAAAAAAAAAAAAAAACTATATTTATCATGTCTCTAATGTACATATAAAATCATGAAATGTATGTAAAAGACGTGTGGTTAAAAAATAATTGTCAATAACAATTGAGCTTTGGAAAGATGTTTCTCCTAAATTGTATATATCGTACTTCAAGGATTGTCATGTTATTCATAACCTAAGCTCTGATACCACATGTAAACCTTGAATTTACATGAAACCCTAAGATCGATAGAACAACATGATAATCACATGAAATAGAAAAGAGATTAGAAGAATACCTCCTTCCATGGTGATTGAGAGAGCTTATGAAGAAGTAGCAATGTTGAATTTTGAGATTCCCTCTCTTAGCCTATAAGTCACTTGATATATGTGTTTCTTATCATATGCTATTGTGATGGTCCAAAGCATACAATTTATAGGTGGAGAGAGGACCAAAATTCCTATTAAGTTTTATCTTTACACTTTATCTCAACCATCCATCATGGAAGAGTTACAATAGGAACATAACTCTTTGGATTTATTAATCTTTGATAACTCCTTATTCTTATAACCAATTGAATCAAATGTAACACTCCTATTCCTTTCATCACTCATGGGTTTCATAATAGATCATATTAAGGATGAGATAACTCTCTTGCACTAAAAGTTATCTTACATAAAGTCGATAAAGAAAAATAGTAAAAAATAAAAAATCATTAATTATCATCTCTTAGATCTGGCCCCACTTAAAACTAAAAGTTCATTTTGTTGATCACCAAGGTGGCAGAGTTACTTGATCCTGTGGAGGGGGGTTGGTGTCGCAATGCACTTCAGCAGATGTTTCCTCCTGAGGTCAGCATGGAGATTTTGGCAATCCCTTTACCTCGTATGAGTATTGAGGATAAGTTGGTATGGCATGATACGTGTGATGCTGTGTTTACTGTCAAATCCGCCTACCACCTAGCGTTGTTGATGGATAGACAGGTTGGGGTTGGCGCTCAAGCGTGAGCTGGATGGATAAAGTGAGTTGGATTCGACTGTGGGCCCTCAAGATCCCACCTAAGCTTAAGCTATTCATCTGGCAAATTTTTCACCGTATTCTGCCTACCACAGAAGCCTTGATTGAAAAAAGGGTCCAAATTCTACCTCGATGTCCGGTGTGTTGGGCGGAGTTTGAAACGATGGAACACCTCTTTTGGGAGTGTCCTGTCGCTACAGCTCTCTGGGCTCATTCAGCTTGGATCATCTGGGGCAAGATTTGCCACATCATACTTTCCCTTTGTTCCTTAAGAAATGTTTGCTTAGGATGATCCAACCGGATCAGGTTATGGTTTTGGTAGCGCTCCTCTGATGTATTTGGAAGTCAAGAAATTGGGCTGCTTTTGAGGGCAAGCAATTCTTGGTTTCCCAACTCATGCGTCAGTATCATCAGCAGGTTCATGAGTGGGTGTCCTTACCGGAGAATGGAGTGATCGGAGGGCGGGTTATTCCGCAGCATCATCAGGATGAGGAGGACATGCCAGTGACTGTCTGTATGTGGGATGGTGCCGTGAGTGCTAATTCCCATGCAGCGGGAGGGCTGATTGTGAAGGATGAACGAGGGAATGTAGTGGCGGGGGAAAGGACCATTCCTGGAGGGTGTGGTTGATCCCCTGGTGGTAGAGACGATTGCCCTCCGTGAAGCTATCAAGTGGTGTCAGGACCATGACATCCCTCAGGTGAGGTTTGAAGGTGATGCCAAGGTTCTCATTGACAAGATTAATGCCAAGGATGCGGAAGATAGTCGTGTAGGTGCTATTATCAAAGAGATTCTGTGTCTGCTTGGTTTGAATAGTGGCTTTTGCGTTCGGTTCGTAGGTCGGAATAGCAGTAGGGTAGCCCATTTACTGGCTGGGAAGGCCCTTTCTTTGTCTCCGACGGCGTGTCGTTCGTACGATTTTCGTGCCTGGGTTGGATCCAGGGTGTAACTTCTCATCTTATCTTATCAATATACATGATTATCTTTGGTTAAAAAAAAAAGATCACCACGAACCATTCTATATCTTGGTAAATGTTTTTTATATCCAAATTAGAGGGGAAAAAAAGATAAAAGCTGATTAAGAAAAATATTAAAAAAAATCAAAAAATATTATCTCTTAGATCTGTCTCCACTTAAAATTAATGGTTAATATCTGATTAATTATGCAACTGTGCATAACCTGGATGCTGTAATATATATAATATAAATTTTCAGATGTAACTTGGAGTACACGTACGAGATATATATAACTACTACGGTCTACGTACGTACTCCCATGATTCGTGTACGGTTATAACACCCACCCAGCTCCTAATTAACTATCATTAGGTGCAGGTAGGTTAATTAATGATAGCGAATTAGTAAGAGAATTAGATGAACGAAAAGAGGCGGAATGTATAATGAGACAACTCATAATTAATCAACCGGGGTTAAAGACACATTTGGTCACTGAGATTACAAAATCAGGACATGTTTAGTCACTAGAAAAAATTAATATCAAATTTGGTCACTACAATTACTAAAACTGGACGCATTTAGTCACTCGCCGTTAGTCTCCGTCCAACTCCGTTAATGAAGTCCGTTAAGTGCTGATGTAGCAAACAGAATTGCCTAATCAGCCGGATATAACCCAACAAAAATAAAACCCGACCCGCCACGTCATTATAACCCACCACCTCATTAAAACCAACCCAACCCAACCCATGACCCAACCCTACCCAACCCTTCTTCCTCCTTCCTCCCCAACCCAATTTAGGGTTTTCCCCATCCCATAATGGCGGAGAGATTTCTCCGGCCTCCTTCTCCGACTTGGCACCAGGAGCGGCAGCCCATGGCGAGCGGGGCAGTAGTCCGGTCCCTCTTCAATGGCACCAGGAGCGTGAACGAAACTATAC